GAAAATCCTTGGCAGGTACCAATCAAATGTTCAGTTTCCTTGAAAACCCGGAGGACCTGCAGCCCTGGGCCTGCCTGTCTGGGCGGCACAGGGGAGCGGCTGAAGCCAGACCCCTGCCCTCCGGGTCGCCCCGCCCCTTAGCCCATCCTGTTCAGGCCCATGAAGCCACCTGCCTGGCCCCAGGCTCCCTGGTCTCATCTCCCACCTTGGCCCGATTACGTGGGCACTCATACCCTCCGCCCCCAGCAGGAGACACCTCGTCTAGCCCCGTATCCCAGCCTTCACGCACGATGGGTCCCCTCCCCCTGGGACGGCCTCTTGCTTTGTCTCCGTAACAGCTGAGCGTCCCTCAAACTCGGCTCAGTTCAAACCTCCAGGAGCCTTCCCTGACCTCCGGGGCTGGGCTGGGTGCCACCTCTGGGCTCCCAGGGCACCTGTGTCTACCCCCTGACTGGGTCACATAGGGCCCATGACCCCTCCCTCCCTAGTACTCCAGGTAAGGAGGGCCTGGCACACAGGGCTCGTTTGCTGAATGACTAGATGAGCGGCTGGGAAGCCGACATTGCCCCCATTTCACAGGTGATGAAACTGAGGCTCCGACCAGGGATCGGTCCACTGCCTCTCAAAGACCAGTGGCTGGTAACACAAGAACCGAGATCTCTATTTTCTATGAGTCTTCAGACCCTGCCATGGGTTGAATTGTGTTTCCCAAAAAGATGTACAGAAGTCCTAGGTACCTGTGAATGTGACCTTTGAAAAGGGGACCTCTGCAGGTATAATCAAGTTAAGATGAAGTCATGAGGGTGGGCACTAATGCAATATGACGGGTGTCCTGATACGGGGAGACACAAGGAGATGTGTGAGGATGGAGGCTGAGATCGCGGTGAGGCATCTTCAAGCCAGGGAGACCGAGGACTGAGGGCTACGCCGAGGCGCTGGGAGGGAGGCGCGGACCACCTTCCGCCCACAGCCTTCTGACAAGCCACGGCCCTGCTGACCCACGATTCTGACTTCCAGCCTGTGGAACTGGAAGAGATTACATTTCTGTTGTTTGAAGCCGCTCAGCACGGTAATTTGCTTCAGCAGCCCTAGGACATGAACGCCAGCCTCTCTAATGACTTTTTTTTTTTAAGATTTTATTTATTTATCTTTATTTTTTTAAATTTTATTTAGTTATTTTTCAAGTACAGTTTTTTGTCTATTTTTTCCATCCCAGCCTCCCCCGCCCCTTGCTCCCCACCTCCCTCACATTTCCACCCCCCTTAGTTCTCGTCCCTTCTAATGACTTATTTTTTAAAATGTACATAATCAGAGGATCTGTGAGTCTGTGAAGCTGATGTGTGGCGAGGGCCCCCCTCCCAGCTCTTCTGCTCTGTGGCTGAGCCTCCCCGGGTCCCCATTTCCTCCCCGTCCGTGCCGTGGGAACCACAAAGATACCCACCCCAGGCTCCGGGTGCCCCACCGTGGCAGGGGTGGTCTGGAGGGAGAAAGAACCTCAATTTTGGAGCGAGTTCCCAGGTTACATTATTCTGGGTCTCTCTGTTTGAAGTTGCTGAATCAAAGCTGGGGTGACTTCCAGGGACCACGTGACTTTAATGCTCTAAAAGGGACCAAAGGGCCAAGGATCTGTTCCATCCCGAGAACGGAGGGAGGGGGCGCAGCCCCACAGTGAGGATTTAAGCCCAGGTCTCACCCTTGACCGCACACTGGAATCCGCTGGAAATGAAAAAGAAACCTGACATCCGCTCCTGCGCCTGGCTCGGAAGGCAGGGCCTGGGGTGGGGCCGGGGTGGCAGGACTACTGGGAGCTCCCAGGTATTTCCAATGGCCGAAACGTCTGGGCACGCCAGGGTTTGGGCTAGTGACTGAAGGGACAGTGCAGGACGAAACTAGACTGAGCTCGTGCCGTGGGCGAGCTTGTTTTATGGGGGGGCAGGTTAGGGGAAAGGGGTTACAACTTAGGGACATGGGGACAGGCACTGCTTGTCCCTCTGGTTCATCCCCTGTGCTGGCCCAGCACACAGTAGGCACCTTACATGTCCATTCCTTCCTGCAGTATGGAGGCCTCAGAGCCTCTGCGTTTCTGCAGAGTGGGGACGTCCTTAGAGCAGGACTCACTCACACTTCACCGCGTTCCCAGGGGAAGAGGCTTCCCTTTGGGGCTTCTAAGGAAGGACCTGGTTTCTTTGCTCCATTCATCCATCTGTCAATCAGAAGCTCGCTCCTGACCCCACCTGCCCTCCCTCCTGGGTCCTCCCCTGGGGCTGGGGTTTTCCCAAGCCACTGCTTCAGTGATAAACTGGTCCCTGCTCAGTGACCTGCAGCAGCATCCTCTGCTTACTGATTGAGTGACAGTCTCCTTCTACCTGGCAGCACCTGCTGTCACTTGGCCCTGGCTGCTCTCTGCCGGCTTTCCTGGGCCCCCGCCCTCCTACCCCCCTGGGATTCTGGGACTGTGTTCAGGGCCTCGCTCCTTCACACCTCTGCCTAAAATGCCCTCGTTGCCAGGCCTGCAGGGGAACCTGTCTGTTGTCATCCATCAGTATGTCTATCCTCAGAGTCCTGACGAGGCCGGGTGTTTGGGAGGAGAGCACCTGCCACTCAAATTTGCTGTTTCCTGAGAATGCCCTTCCCTGCACATGCCTCTGGTCTGGCCCTCACCCAACCATCTGATGGACAGACACCTGTGGAGGACCTACGACATGTCAGCCTCCTCGGTCACCCCGGCTGGAGGTGGCCTGGCTCATCACTTCTCCAACAGCCTGGGAGCAGCCAGGGAGGACGTCCAGGTCCCGTTCAACTCTCTGCCCCAGCGTCCCTGTCCCCTCGCCTGACACAGAGCAGGGCACAAGGCAGGCACTCGACACGTGCTGAGCGAGTGGGTGGTGGCACTGCCACTTCTCTGTCACACCGCCCACTGCTGCCGCGTGGGGACACTCACGCACACCTGGCAGCCCCTGCCCACTCAGAGCGTGTGCTGAGCCCCCACACTGGCCGAGCACTGTTAACTCTTCAGACAAAGGAGTAAAAGTGCCTGCCTCGTGGGGCAGGGAGACACGGGAACATCACCCGCTAGAACACGGCACGCCACGGCCAGACCGCTTCCCGGGGAGAGGAGGGGACGAGCCATCTTTAAATGCCTGCCCTGCCCGTGGTACTGTGTGTTCAGGGTGGAGCAGCGAGGTGGGAAGCAGCGTCTGAGCACCACAGGTGTGCAGACCTGGATTGCAAACCCAGCTCTTCCCCATACCCACGGCGCGTCCTGGGAGAATAACCGAACTCCTGGTCTATAAGACAGGGACAGCAGCACCCCAGTCGCCGACCTGCAAGGACTCACTGTGCAGAAGGGTGTGCGTGCCCGGTGTCTGGCACCCAGTAGGTGCTCGGTAAACCCTAGTGTCTCTCCCCACTGAGTGGCACTTCATGTCTCTGCTCCTTTCTGGACTGAGCAGGTAATTAATACCCAAACCTCTGTCCATGAGAATAAGATGACCACATGAGGTTTCAATGATAAACAAAAAAGAAAAAAAAATCTCCTAGCAGTTTCAGCCTATAGGTGCTAAAAATCCCTATGTTTATGTTGCCCCGTTACCATAGCAACTGATGCTGCTCCAGCCAGCCCCAGGGTTAGCAGAGATCAATTAATCTTTTAACTGCAGAAATGCCAGCTGTTCGGTGGGACCCAGTGGGGAAGCAGACAGACACTGTGTGAGCACCTGTCCCCTCCAGAAATGAACCCACTGAGCCCACCACAGTCTCCACGCAGCTAAGTCACCACCATGCAAACACTTATGTCCACATGACAATGCTTTAAACATGGGGTTAGAAAGAGGAGACAGAAAAACTCGGCACAAACAGCCAGCATTGCTCACGGGAGCAGGTAGCATTATGGAAAACCCATCAAGAGGCAGCCAGGGACTGGATGGGGGTTCCCTGGGGCCAGTCTGGGGACTCACTGTCCCTACAGCCTAGGTTTTGCTGTTACTTTTTAAATAGGCTTCCACCACAGTGAAGTTTGGGGGGAAAGGAAACTGTGTTTCCTTTCAAACTCTACTCCCTGGGTGCAGCAAGTGGGCCCTGCCACACACCCAGGGGGCAGAGGGAACCTGGGTGGCCTCCCTGCGTCTGGGCTCCCAACACAACCAACCTCATAGACGCTGTGGATCCTACTCTCCCGGAGCACACATGGCCCTTCCCCGGAGTCAGACTGGCACCGTGTGCCAGGAAAGGCCACAGACAGCTGGGGAAAGCGCGTGTGTGCCTTTGTTCTGGTTCAGGAGAGTTACAGCACAGACGCAGAAAGATCGCCCACCCTCAGACCTCAGGGGGCTCCTTAAGACCAAGCAATGAGGAGTCGTCTGTTTTCCCTGCCGCTGGGAACCTGCTTTGCATCAAGGGGAGAGTTACAGGCTCCCACACTGATGGCCGCAGACTCAGCACAAAGCAAAACAGGATAAAACAAATGATCTCTGGCTGGCGCTTGGCAGGTCACAAAGCAGCCACCTTGCTCCGGATCTGGTCTCTCTTAACGAGGAGAGAGCGAAGTGGGAGCAAGTGGCAGACTGCCAGGTGTCTCCGGAAGATAGAGGTTGCCGGCCCATCCAGATGCACACATCTGGGCTGCCCAACCTTTGAGGGGCTGGGGGTATCTGAGGGACTGGGGGTATCTGAGGGGACAGCAGGTGGTGGTGGGGGCGGGGAGAGGGACCTGGCGCCTCCCGTTGCCCAGGCCCCTGGCAGCCTAGGAAAGAGTGAACCCAGTGAGCTCTGAGTGCAAGGCCCGCCCCAACACCCGGGAACCGAGCCCGAAATCCCGGACGCACGCACCAGGTGGGGATGCCCCAGGTCTGGACAAAAGACAGGGACACGGATCCCCGGCTGGTGCCACAGCCCAGCCCGAACCCTCTCGCGCACCCAGCACCAGTGCCAAGGGCGAGACCGTAGCCCCAGACCTGCCCAAACTTGGCGGCATGGGGTGCGCAGGGAAGGCGTCCCGTTACCTGCGCGGCCATAAAGGACAGATCCATGGTGTCACTGTTGTCGCGGCAGCTACTGCCTCCAGTGCTCCAATCGTCACTGCTGCTGCCGCTCTGCTGCTGATGCTGCTGGTCCAGCGCTTGCACGGCGGGCCGAGAGGCAACCAAGCAGCTCGCAGGCGCCCTCGGACCCCGCGGCTACAGCGCCGACCTCAGCAGCCGTGGCGCCGCAGCCAGTCCCCAGCTCGATGGGCGGGCTGGGCTGGCTCGGCGCTCTCGAATCGAGACAGAAACGGGGCGGAGGGCCCGGAGTGCGGGGGCGGGGCGGGGCGGGGCTCCGGGGGAACTGGGTGCCCCTCCACGTGACCACCTCCAGCCCCACCCCTAAGAGCGGGGCGGCGGAATCCCTGAGCTCTCGCTGTCTCGTCTCTTTGTGAGCTAGATGGAGAAACTGAGGCCCGTCCTGGCCCAGGTAAGTCGGTGCTGGACCAGACTTGAACCCGAGTCCAGGGCTCTTGGTGCCCCCTCCCCCTGCTACTGAGGCCAGCCCATCGGGCGCAGCGGGCAGTGCTTTCCTGGGGCTGACGTGCCTGGTTCTCAGGCCAGAAGACGAGGACTTGGGCGGCCCAGTTTCCGTGCCAACCGCGAGCGCACAGCCCCGCATGCCGGGGCCTCCGGCGCTGGGCAGAAGTTGAAATGCCAGCTCTGCTCTTCTGAATGGCCGGGGCAAGGCAGCGTCTGTCTGAGCCTGGGCGTCCTCATCAGCAAAATAAAGACAGCAGAACCTGAGAGTTAAATGACAAAATGTATCTGACACCTGGTGTCTTCAAGACCTGTGAGCTGCAACATGGCTAATTAGGCAACAGAGACTGGGCCGGGAAGGGTGCCTTCTAGGATGGCACAGGGCGCAGCCCACAAAGCTGGACTCTGGCTATTAGGATGTTCCCTTACCTCACTCTGGGATCCCAAATCGGGCAGATGCGGCAGCTAAAGTGAGGGCAACAGCAGAGATGCCCAGAGGGCCCTTTTCCCTTGTGTGTGTGTGTGTGTCCTCAGAAGAGTGTCTCTAAACAGCCAATGGTAGGGGATGGCTGGTGATCAGTGAGTATTACTGGGTCCTTCCTGGTGGTTTCCCTCCCTGGACCTCTCCCTGGTCACCATGAGCGATGCCTCACGGTGCCCATGAGGGAGGTGGCCCAGGACTGGGAGGCTTTGTCTCGGGCAAGTAAGCTGTGCGGCAGAGAGAGAGGGAGGGCGGTGTTCAAGGGCCACCCAGCAGGTGGGGGCCAGCAGGGGCTGTGGGACTGGGACAGCCCCAGTGAGGGGCTGCCGGTGCCTCACTGAGTGGTGGAGACTGCGTTTGTGTTCCCCTCAGAATGTGTGGGTGGGAGCCCTGCTCCCTAGTGAGACTAGTTGGAGGTGGGGCCTTTGAGAAGTAGGTAATGAGGTCAGGAGGGCGGGGCTCACGGGTGGGGGATCCAGGCCCCTGTAGGAAGAAACACGGAACAGAAGGTCCTAATTTTAATTTTGTCAAAGCTTATTAATACTTTTCTGTACAAGTAGCCCCTGTTTAAGAAATCCTTTCCCAACTGGAGACCATAAAGATACTCTCCTGCAGTTTTTTATTCTTTATTTTTATTTTTTGCATTTCAGCCCTTTTGTAACTGATCTTTCTGGGATGGGTTAAGGAAGCCATTTCATTTTTCTCATATTAATAGTCAGTGATCCCCGCACCTTTCTTGGCCATTCCTGCCCTTTCTGCTCGCCAGGTGTCTGTCTTGGGGCGGGCCTATTTCTCTGCTGTCTGTTCTGTTCCATTAGTTGCTTGACCCTCCCTCTGTTCTGTTCCATTAGTTGCTCATCCCTCCCTCCGTTAATTCCATTCTGAGTTTGCTGCCCTGATGGTTCATTTTATGTGTGGACCTGACTGGGCCACAGGACTCCAGAGAGCTGGCGAAACTTTATTTCTGAATTTGCCCACGAGGGTGCTTCTGGAGGAGACGAGCATTTGAGTTGGTGGACTGAGCAAAGCAGGTGGCCCTCCCAATGCCGCAGGGCCTCACGCAAGCCCTGGTTGGCCTGATTAGAACGAAATGGAAGAGGCAGGTTGAATTCCCCCTCTGCCTGACCTGTTGAGCTGTTTTAAATTTGGATGAAATCAAAATTATGATGTGTGAACAACGACTTCACTGCACTAGTCAGCGGGGGCGATAGATGCTGTTGAGGGAGCATATGTACTGTGTGGTCATCACATTCAAATGACTGAGCAAGTAGAGCAATGAATCTGCATCAGATTTTGCATTAAGCTTGAACGTGCCTCTGCAGAAACTATTCAGATGACTCAGAGGCCGCAGCTCTGGGCAACTGGTGATTGGCAGCTTCATCACTACAATACCCCCAATGATGCATCACGTCTCGTGCAGAGTGTTTTGGTGAAACATCAAATCACCAGGTAACTCCGCCCCCTTATAGCTCATATTTGGCGCCCTGCGACTTCTGGCTTTTCCCAAAACTAAAATCACCTCTGAAAGGGAAGAGATTTCAGACTGTTGATGAAACTCAGGAAAACATGATGAGGTAGCTAATGGTGATTAGAATTGTGTGAGGTCCCAAGATGCCTACTTTGAAGGGCCTGAGGCACCATTGTCCGATGTACAATGTTTCTTGTATCTTGTATCTTTTTCAATAAATGTTTCTATTTTTTGTAGTACATGCTGGATACTTTCTGGACACACACACACACACACACACACACACACACACACGGTTTAGTACTGTATCCCTTGTGGATGAGCTACTGTATGTAGAAACATTATTTATTTTATTGTATCAGTCTTGTACCCTGTGATCAGAGTTGCCAGGACCAGGTTCAGTGAGCAGTGTCTTCCTTTGCTCCTCACGAGGACCCCGGGTGGCAGGTGGGGCCCTGCTGAGGGCAGAGAGACCTGCTCGAGGTGGCTCAGCTGAAAAACAGAGCATTTACTCCTGCAGTCCTCAGTGTCCACGTTGTGATGAAGTGTCCCCAGGGCTTGAACAGTGACCAGATGGCAGGCCTGTCCTTCCTCAGGGGTCCCCAGGCCCCTCTTCCACAAAGGAAAAGCGAGAGGGGACAGGAGGAGAGCTGAGGATGCCTGTCGGTTTGCTTGGTTTGCTTTTGTGCTTTAGACCCAAACCCTCCTGAGCTACAACCAGCCGTGTGTCCTTGGACCAGCCCCTCCCCTGGGCCCCAGCACCCCGGTCTCTACAAGAAGCAGCAAGCACAGCCCATCTCGAGTCCATTGAGAAATTCCGCCGTGTCCTGGTGGTGAGCAGAACCGTTTGGTCACAATGTCCCTGAAGAGAGAAAATGCCCTCCACTGGTTGCCACTTCAGAGTGAGAACGACCAGCTGATTTCAAAAGTTGCCAACTAAAACTCAGCGTGAAGTATCTTTAAATCACTCTATGGATATGTAATTTTCATATGTGTAACCACTTTACGTATACAGGTTAAAAAGTCACGGCACATATGTACACCCGTGTAACCTGGAACTACGCTCAAGATGCAGAACACGCCACGCGCCCTACAGGTCCCTCTTGTCCCTTTGCGGGTAGTCCCACCCCCACCTCTGCCTCCAGGTTGCCCAGCCTCTGCTCAGGTGGGCGTCCCTCACTGTGGCTGAGATTTGTCTCTCCTAGATTTTTCTGTAGACGACATCCTGTCGGACGTGCTCTTTTCTTTGGCTTCTCTCGTTCAGCACGCTGTGTTTGAGAATCACCCCTATTGTCACGTGTGTTGCCAGTTCTGTTTTTGTTCCTGAACAGCGCTGTGATGTGTGGGTTCTCCGCGGCTGGTCTGCCCATTCTCCTGCAGACGGACCTTGGACGTATTTCCAGGTCTCAGCTATTAGGAATGAAGTGTCCATGAGTGTTTGTGTACCAGTCTTTGTTTCGGTATTATATATTCATTTTCTCAAGTAGGAATGTAGGAGTAGGGTTTACATTTGGAAGCAATAGCCAAACTATTTACAAAGTGTCTGAACATTTTTCAGTCCCACCAACAGTGTATGAGAACTCCAGTTGTTTTGTATTCTCACCAACGCTTGATGTTTTCATTGTTCTAATTCAGCTGTTCCAGTTGGTGTAAACTGGTAGTTCATTATCGTTTTCAGCGTGTGTCCCTGATGACTGAGGGCTGGGCACATTTCCTGCGTGCCCACTTTCTCCTGTGAGGGGTCTCCTCCGGTCTTTCGCCCATTTTGAACAGTGGGTCACTGGTCGGTGTGCGACTGAGTTGTGAGAGGTCTTTCCGTGTCTTTGAACCTGGGCGTCCATCAGATCTGTGTCCCTCAAACACTCTCCCTCAGCTTGCAGCTTTTTTCATTTTCTTAATGGTGTTTTTTAAAGAAACGCTCTTAGTTTTGATAAAATCCAGTAGATGTTTTTCCCTTTTATGACTCATGACTTTTGAGACCTAAGAAATATTTGCCGACCTCAAGAACATATTTTCTCCCTCCAGAAGTTTTATAGCTACAGCCTTCATGTTTGTGTCTCTGACCTATTTTTGGTTTTATGTGTGACGTGAGGTAAAGCTTGGGGTTCTTTTTCTGTTTTTGTCATTGCCAAAAGAATGTCCGATTGTGCCAGCACCATTTACTGTAATGACTTCTCCTCTCACCTCATGGTCCTGAATCACCCAGGACTAGGCCCAGATTAAAGGAGACACACAATTTAAGGCGGCACGCACTCCCAGGTGCCAACTCTGCACTTGTGCAACCCTGAGTGCATGTGTCCTTAAATTTTGATGCCTAGGCGCCTTGCTGGCCCCACCCATTGACCCCTAAGCACCTCACAGATCTGTACATTATAAATGTCACTCTCTTCTCTCTAACTGAGCCCGGGTGACCTGCAGGCATGTAACGATCCAGCGAGGACTCGAAGAGCCCTGTCCCGAGCTCCAGCCGGGCACAGCCACCTGTCCACTCAGCACCTTCTCCTGTGTGGCTGGTGGCAGCTCAGATTTAACCTGGGCAGCAGCAATGAGCTACGATGTCCCCCTTCCACCTGGAGGCATCACTGCAGATAATGGCACTACCCAGGCCCCATTGCACAATTGTGGGTGTTGCACTATGGTGCACGTTGCACACTCCATGGGGGTCCTGGCTAGCAGGCAAGGGGCTGGTTAAACCCAGCTGAGCTCCTCCGGTGCACACCTGTGCTCAGGGGCGGGGCTGAGCTCAGGGGTGGGGCCATGCCC